GAGAGAAAGCAGCCCGCAGGCGTCGGCGGCGACCGCGCGAACCACCGCCGCGGGCCCGCGCGGCGAAGCCGAAATCCCCCGCTCCGACGCCGCCCAAAACTCCCCGGGGAAGTCCAACATCACGTCCGCGAGGCAATCCGAGCAGCGCCCGACCAAAGCCGCGGGGGGGTGGCGAAGGTACGCCCCGCAGGCCGCAAAAAGGCTGCCGTGGAGGAGCAGCGCCTGGGAAAGCGCGGCCGATGCCCGCAGAAACGCCGCGCGGGGGATTTCGACGTGGGCCGGGGCTGCCGGGAAGGCCGAATGACCCGCCGCCGCCGTCGCGTGAAGGACCTCGGGATGGGAGAAAAATAATGGATGAAGTAGCCGCGAGATTTCCGCTATGAAGACGGCGCGGGGGGGGATCGGCCCGTCAGGAAGGGGTTGTTCGAACGAGCTGCACGGCACCGACGGCTGCTCGATGGTTTCGTGCATTGCGTGAGGAGTTGCCTTTGCCCAACACCACGCCACCTCCCATGCGAGGCGCAAACCCTGATATAAAAAAAAAAGAACCCTTATGCGTCAACTATCATCCCAATAAAAAAAAAAAGGAATAAAAAGAATGTACGCGGGATATGCTTCTCCTCGAAGAAACTTGGAAGCGATGCATGTACCGGACGAGGTAGATATCACCCCTGAAGGCGTCGAATGTATCCATCATAACAGACGGATACGTGGTTGTAAATGGGGAATCCTGATCAATTGTAAGGTCAAAGGATGCATTGCGCGTTGAATGAAAAAACATCAGAGCAGATACTTCAAAACAAAAAGAAAAAGTATATATAAATTTGATACCAAGATTAAACTCAAGAATTCTGTGATAATAAAAAATATATATTCAAATGTAGTCATGACGCAGCATCCTCTGGGCTACCCACGTGGCAAAACTCGATGCTTGAGTGAGCCCCGCCGGTGATGCCGCGGCCGTATCCTCCAATAAAACCTTCCCCAGGTGGCTGTACATCGCCTCGATCTCGACTTTTCGCCCGATCGCGGCCATGCACCGAGCCTCGGCGTACCAAGCCGCGATGTGATTACCACGGCCCCACGGCCCCATCGCCGCCGGCGAAGTCGTGGGTGACGACTCCACCTCCGCCTCCGCCTCCGCCGAAAAGGAGGCCAACAAACCCCGCATGAGTGCCGAATCCCGCGCCGTAAAGGCCTGCGAAGGCAACGAGGCCGGCAGCGCCTGGAGCGCGAGGGCCGCTGGGTCACTTGGGAGGGCCTGCGGGAGGTGCGGGCGGCGCAGCCCCAGCCACCCCAGCCCTGGGACGGCGTAGAGGGCGTTTTCCGGCGGCCCTCCGTCGTGGCCCGCGGGCCTTGGGGGGCGCCGGCCTCCCCACTTGTACTGCCGCAGGATCGCCAGCCCGCTGGGGTTGTAGTCCACCAGGGCCGCCACAGGGACGTGCGGGGCGGCGCGGTGGAGGTGGTGCAGCAGCACCCGCGCGGCGTGGGTGGGGAAGCCGTTCGAGGTCAGCACCACGCACGGGACGAGCCGGCCCAGACGGCCCTGCTGCAGGCGGTGGAAGACGGCGTACTTCTCCACGACTAAAATAAACCGCAGGTTGGCGTGGAGGGTGAAGGCCGGGGAGGAAGAGGAAGAAAGAGGGGGG